ATTACCTAAGTAAAGGCTTTCATCACAGTGTGTCAATACTGTATTAGTGTGCTGAGCTCACCAGACTCAATGACCTGCTGGATCAGAATCCCCTCCACTGTCCCGCAGCCAGTGGGATGCTCACTGGCAGACACAGTCACGGCCCTCTGGACTGAGGTAGATACAGCCTGGACCCCTGCATTTTGGGAGTCATATTTATTCATCTGCAATCTCATTCATTTACTATAATGCATAGTCTTCTAATGACACAATTTGCACAAATAAGTGATTACCGTTTCCCACTGAGACCTGAGAAAGTGCTGCACCATCTGTCTTTCTCATCTGCTTGCCTTTGCTTCCTGGAACAGTGACGACACTGAGTTATCAGGACTATCATGTTTGCAACTAGAACGGCCGTACAAACTGACACGTATTCCTTCAGATTATAAATCGTATTTGAATTTTTGAATGTAAAATATCACGTGATTCTTGGAGAACCGAAGCGTCCGTAAAAATTTTTTTTCCTTACAAAAGATTAATTTGTCGAGACAACACTGCTAAGTAGTTTTAGTATTTTATGAGATGTTTATTTCATATGCATTTAAATGTCAGTCTTAGCCTAGGTAAACATTTTCCCCTTTGTTCGGCAGATCCTACAGCAGCGTGATGAAAACATTTTTACTGAATAACTAGCCTAACGTTACTCTCATTCACAAAACAGAGATGAAGGTGCAATTTACCCTTGCGGTGTACAAAGCTAATTATTTACATTTATTGTATATAAGCGACATAATATGTAGTACATGAAGGATAAAAGTGAATAGTGTACTTGTTAAATGATTCGAACATCACAAATCACACTTTTGGAATCTTTTCTGTAAAAAAAAAAGTATGCAAATTTATAGTACTATTGTGTTATACTGGCATTAAATTAGGCTATAGAAAACTGTAAACGGCTGGCCACCGTGATAAATCTCGATATTATTTTCCTCTTTTGGGGAGCTATATAGAAACACTATCGTCGATTTTATATTTTGTAATTGGATCAAATGGGAATGCAAAAATGATATTTGTTGTAGTTTTCTTTCATCACGGCTATTACGACTTCCGCCTCTGAAATCACCGGAAATGTAAAAATGGTACATTGGGCCTGTTAGTAGTAATAATACCTCTAAAACGTAGGCCGTTTTTAATAAATAATAATCTGTTGCTATTTAGTTTTTGTTTGGCTTATTATTCAAACTAAATGAAAATAACCTGACTTGACTGTCACATCACAAGGCCATAGAAAGAAGTGGAAGGAAAGCAAAAAACAAAACAAAAAGACCCCTGTTTTCTCCAGCCCAGCTAACATTCTCAGAACAACGAAGAACGTTCAGGCAAGGTTCTCTCAAAGTTATGAACGAACATTCTTCCAGTAATGTTAATAGAACGTTCATTTGAAGTTATCTGGTCTTTAGTAAATACATTATACATCATTTATGCTTTGGGATGTTTTTCTGAAACATTTTAGTTGGAGCAACTTGAGGGTGAGTAAATTATAACATAATTAGCATTTTTGGGTAAACTAACCTTAGCCCTTTAATGTTATCTTTAACATTTACATAACCAAGAAAAAACTTTTTTAAAGTTTTTTTTTTAAATGTACAGAGAACATTTAAAAAAAACATTTTGAATGTACAGAGAACATTCAGATATAATGTTTTCGCATTATGTAATGGGAATGTTAGCAATATGTTCTTACTCTTAGAACATATTTTTGTTAATTGGGAATTTGCTATACGAACAGAATTATGAATATCTGTGTGTGTGCCAGTGTCCATACCTGAGCTGGAGGTTAAGGCTTTCTTGGTGTGGTGATGTGGACGGTGGGTCATTTGTTTTTCGGCCAACCCTCTCTTCTTGCCTGACTGGCTGCGGACCTGCAGCTCAAACCTGGGGTTCCTTGCATGTCTGGCCACCTGCTTTAACCCTGCCAAATCAGATTATCATCACTTAAACTGTCATTATTATCCTCCAACCTACTTATGTTTGCCAGACCTGTGCACTGTACCTTTGGGAAGGTTCATAACAAGGGTTTCCAGTTTTGGGTAACACTGCTTATTGTACTCTTTACAGAGATTGCTCCAGAATCCCTGGAGGACTGTGGCATCCTGGTCCAGTATCAAAGTGAGCAGTGAGTAGACAGCTTTGTGGATCCCGTCCTTTTTCTTTCGCTCTAAAGTCTCCTTAAGTGTTAATCGGTAATAGTATTAGTTTCTTGTTTGAGCATTTAATGAACTATGATTACGCATATTTGTAATTATGCTGAGGAATGTAATTTTTATGAAAATGTTCACCCTTAGGATCTGTTCAGAGATGATGTCGTGATCCGCCAGCCCATACAGCAGTGGGAAAGGGTCATGGATTGCCATAGCGATCTCAGTCCTACATGCTCGTAGCTGTGAGCGCAGGTCAGACTCTCCGTAACCTTCCACCCTAGACATGCTTCCACAAGAGTCCTGCATATAGACCACAAACTACATTTACACTGAAATTCTGGCTCTGGTGTTCTGAGAGCACTAAATATATCTTCAGATATTAATTTTAAAAGATTCAATTGTTTTATCATGTGCATACATTGTAATTAATCAAAGTAGAGGTCTTCAGGCTTTTTTAGAGAAGGGATCCATTGTTATATATATAAAATGGAATGTTGCACTTTAAACTGGACTTATAATACAGTGACAGGCATATAGTATCATTTTCATGTATTTACATATTTAGCTTACATTACTATTCATTAAAATAATGTAAACAAAGTTTTTAAAAAAAAGTAATTTTAATTTTTTATTTAAAACATTTTAATGCAGCAACAGCAACAAATATTTAGCTGAGCTTTAGTTTTGATTGAAATTAGCTTCCATTAATAATTGTTGAATTTTGGTTTATCCTTTTTATTTTTCTCAAAAATCAGTTAGAGATCAAACGGTAATTGTCAGTACTGCCGCAGACCCCCTGATGGTCAAAGACTCTTAACCTTAATAACGAAACACTATCAGTCATCATTCAGCCTTTAGAAATAATGGTACATATTGATTAGTTTCCTGATGTTAAACATGCTAAGAAAATTAACATAATACTTACAACAGATGCAGGTGATGAGGACTAGAGATACCTGTAATCTCCTAGCTGGTTTCCTTTTATTTGGTGTGATGGCTGTCAGTGATTGGCATGGCTTTTTTTGTGACTGGTGGACAAATGACTCTTGTACTCTTGGAGCCTCTAGGGGCCATTGATTCATAAGACTGCTGTGATAAGTGGTGACATTGAATTTCTATTTATAGTTAAAACACTAACTTGCACCTTGTAGGCTGGTTAAATATACCTGCCCCTTATTTGTTCGCATTTATGCTCATTTGTGCGGTATGGCTTGGAAAGTCCACAGTTGGGCAAGAAACGATTTCTCAATCATGTGAGCCTCTACTTTCAGTCACCTGTCTCTCCTGAGGACTATAGTTTCCACGCCAAGGGGAATCCCAGTCTAGCCATTAATGTTGCGTGGGAATTATTAATGTCTTTGAGATTTTCCAACAAGGTTATATTTAAACTATAATGGACCTTTTTCACATTTCCGGGGTTCTGAGAAACGGAAGTCCATAGTTTGGGTAAACGTCTGTAGTGATGAATGGAAACTAAAACAAATTTATTTTGTGTTCTCATTTGCACCAATAGCATAAGGAAAAAAATCCACCTTGAAGTTTCTATGACTTTCCAAAAGTGGAAAAAATATCAAGAGATTGATTGCGTTGGTCAAAAGAGAGAAAGATGTCCAATTTGCCGTCACTTCCTTAGCCTTATTATTAGAAACACTCACATAGCAGGGATAACTTGTTTTATGTAATTAAAGACCAAGGTAAGAAAACACCAAGTATAATGTTGAAGATTTACATAAAAATTTAAAAAAATGAAAATGCTAGATTTACAAAGTTAACAACTGCGGAAATTCGCCATCACAGTCTGTGAAAAGTGTCCATTGCTTTCAACTTTAAATGAAGCATAACATTTGTCTTAAATTGTCATAAAAAATAGTGATTTTTGAAAATAGAAATTCATTAGATCTTAGAACTTTCTGCTTGGTTGAAAAAGTACACAATTTACACACAAAAAAAAATTTAAATTCTTAGTTTCTTGAACTGCTGTATAAAATAATATCACACTCAGCATTGTAGCAGTAGACAGTTTGGTATTAAGACATGGATTTTATTGATTTTGTTTTTTCAGACAGATGTCATGCTCATAAATGTACTTACAGAGTGAATAAAGAGCCAACTACACTGCTCTACACAACCCTCTGACAGATTCAATCTCCTCACACTATCAGCAGCAACTTCCTGTTTTACATACAACCGTCCACTTGCACAGGACTGTTCTGCAATTTTTCTCGACCGCTGTGAATTGGCTAGATGGTGTGAATACAACAATTTCATCATAAATCCGTCAGTTGTTTGGCCGACCAGTCAGTGACCACCGTTCTGTAACATATGTGTTCTCAGGTAGCCATACAATGAAAGCTTTGCATTGTGATGCCACAATAACAGAAGGCACAACTAGTGTACAAAAGTGAAAGATGACAAAGCTAACAAGAGGAAACGGAGGCTTGAGAAATGTGAATGTGATAGATGACATATTCTGTGCCCTGTCAATGCAAAACTCATTAACCTCAGTCCCTCCCCCCAGTTAATATCAGCGGCCCCTTAAATTATCCCAGAAGCTGAGGTCAAGCCTAGTACCAACAATTCAGTCAGAGTTATTCCTCATGTCCATTTTTGTTTCAATGAATAGAATTACTGGCACCAGAAAGAAACTCGCACTAACATTAAATATATTATAAATACCTAATATATCCTAAATTAATCTCTATACAATCAGTGGTGTTAATCAGTGCATTTATGTAAACAATTCAAAATAGAAAACAAAAACAAATACATTAAATATTAAAGATACTATGTTTCCAGAGATTCGTAAACAACTCGCATTTCTTGAACGTACTGTTGCGATAACCAGAATATTGTGAGTGGACGTCAGGCGGGTACATTCACTCTCAGCTCAGTGCTGTTTTAAAAAGGTCTTCATGTTTTAGGATGAAAGTGTTCGCCTACTACTAGCATTTTGAATTTTTATCTACACATCCATTCAGCATGTGTGGGAGACAACGAGAGCTTTACTACAAAGGATACGACAATCATTTGTCTGTTTCATCACTTTATGATGTGGTGAACCATACATTTCCTTGTCAGAACCCAGAAGAAAGTGCATGTATTTGAAATGAAAATCTGTTGTTTCCTAAGGCTCACCTCAAAATCGCCTTTCTCACCCCAACCGAATGAATGACACTTATGTCATTCTTTTTAGTTCTAGTTGGTTGCAAAATACAAAATTATAATTAAAAAATAAAAAGCAACCCACATATTTCTGTAAAACATCTGAAAGGGGTTTAACAGGAATAATGTATTCTTTCAGGAAAAAAATTTGGTGGATGAGTAAAACAGTATAAGGCAACAGCAAAATGCCCAAACCATAAGTAATACTTTACCACCAGTGTATGGCTACAGGTGAGACCGAGAAAATAAAAGTGAAGCCCTTGTCATATTAAAAAAAAAAACATTTGTACAAGTGAACATAAACCACGTCTAAATGATGGATGTTCACAATAATATAAATACTATATACAATACAGTACCGCCTGGCGGATCTAAAGTGTATACATGAAGCTAGCAGAAAAATCCATTGGTTCTTTGCAACAGTGCCACGGCACTTTAAAGGTTAACCGGGTTAGTACACACACCTCTCATGGAGGCTGGTACTGGATTAGCATGTAGGATGTACTGTATACACAGACCCACACTTTGAACAGGACCTCTCTCTTTTTTCTTTTTTTCATTTATTCTGAGTTCTTCGTTTCGTTACTATCGATGTGTATGGACCAAAGGACATGACCGATTCTAAAAGTTGTCTTACATGCATGCTATGGACGAAAGACAGTTACTCTGTCGCCCGTCTTGAATCTTAAACTCATTTTTTTGTGAAGGCATCATTTAGTGCTTTTTGTAATGTACAAAAATACAAAACATAACAACCGATAATCCACTCTGAATGTTGTTTGTCCGAAGATGGTACACATGCCACTTCCTGTCTTATATGAATCTGTTAGCTAGTCACTTTGTGTTACCTATGATATTATTTTGGCAATTAAACAGACAGTGTAGATTTTTTTTTTGTTCTTGCAACTGAGGAATATAATTTTAGACCCATTCAGATGTAAAAAGCCTATATCCGATCATAAAGTTCAACTGGACGTGGACCCATAGGAAGCAACAGAACAAGCATGTGGTGTTAATGAAGGTCCGAACCGCTTTCTACTAACAGGAGCACCCACTTTCAGTGGCCGGAGGATCTGGCTGTTTGTCCAGCTTAATGTCAATCACTGGAAAAGGGTTGTGTGTCAAGGAAATCAAGAAAATAGTGTTGCCTTATTAAAATATTCAGCTCAGCTTCCCAGTATTATTGTTATCTCTTAATAAATGTATTTGATTAAATCTATACCTTTTATTTTTCAGAAAGAAATCAGAAAGAAAAATATGTCATGAAAACTCTGTTTTTGGAAAAGGAGCCAGACAGTTTGAAAAATAAGGTTTGATGATGTCAACTATAAAAAAGGATATATGTATGGCTATAAATCATGCACAATAAGACTAGGAACTTGGGTTAAGTAGGTTATTTTTGATATTATGATGACTTGTGTAATTTCTGTTTCACTAGTGGAAACGTGAATGGGAAAATAAATATATAGTTCAGTCATGAAACTCTAGATGCCGCAGGCTGACGGGTTGTTAATGTAACATGATATTCAGAGAGTTAAACGACTTGGCACAAGCTGATTGGTTCATGCTGCATATGCAACCAATGAGCTTACTGCCTTGCATTTATATGGCTGGCTAGCATTCACTTGAGATTCCTGCAGCGCCAAGACCAAATACATTAACATTGTCATATCCATCACCATGCTAAAATCTTCCGAGAGTTGTCATGATTGAAATATTGTTTTCGGCTTTCTAAACACTCTCCATCTGTCATTGGTCGTACCAATAGATAGTCCCGCCCCAAACTCACAGTATTGGTTGAGATGATGTTCCAGAGTCTAGGTGGACGGGATGCTTAAAAGTTTTGATAGCACCACAGTCACTGTGTTTATCAACCTACATGTGGCTTAATTATTTAGTTTTCTAATTTTGTCTCTGCATATTAACCTGGGACACCTTTTCAAAAATGACACTTATCTGCTTTAAATGTCATGCATTAAAGGATACTTCCTTCTTTGTTGTTATCATCCAGGCTCTCCATTCCAGGCAAAGCAGCAGCCACTCGCCGAAACAACTATTAAACCAAACAGAAAGAGAATGAAATCAGATTTTTTTCCCCAGAGTGGACTGGTACCGTTAAAGCCCTATGGGCAACAACTCTGGCTAAATCAAATCTTTTTAGAGCTTTCCATGTGTCATGTTACAGGGCCTGATCTCAATTAAATTACTCTATTGGATCAAGTCCATTTGCCATTGAGTAGACAATGTAGCGCTCTTAGACTCACCTGTTTAACGTTGCTGCCAGTCTTTGCACTAGTCTCGATAAACATCACATTCAGTTCTTTGGCCCGCTGCTCACCCTCCTCTATAGTGATTTGCCTATCAGAGCAAATCCCAACATAATGTGTTACAATTTTAATTAAATTTAAATGATAATTTTCAGTAAATTAATTGAAAAGAAAAATATAAAGATGAAAATTTGATACTATAGTGACACAAATTAAGAATTCTAGCACAAAATATTATATTAAATGTTAATATAAAAGACTCCACCTCTTTTCTTCCAGGTCTGTTTTATTGCCCACCAGCATGATAATGACATCACTTCCCCTCTCTGTTCTGACATCATCAATCCATTTGGAGGTTAGCTGGAATGAATTGACATCTGGAAGAAGAAAAGGAAAAGAAATCAGTGAATTTTGTTAAATGCCTATTTCATCAATGGCGACACAAAAGCAGTTGGTTCTACATCACGTCATCAGTCAAAGTGTGTGTTTGAGGTGCTCACTTGTGATATCATACACCACCACAGCCACTGTGGAGTCTCTAATGTAGCTCGGGATAAGACTCCTAAAACGCTCCTGCCCTGCGGTGTCCCATAGCTGTAACCTCACCTGCAAAAAAACACACAAGGCATATTTGTAGAAATAAAGATAGATTTTGATAGTTGCATTAATGTGATATATATATTAAATATAATCATTAATTCTAATTCGTTTCAGAGCTTCTTACAGTTCGGTCCTCCAGATACATGGTTTTTGATAAAAAGTCAATTCCAATGGTTGCCTGTGATGATAATAAGATTTAAAGTAAGATACAAAATAACATAGACTTATCTGGAAAACTCTTTGGTGTCTGTTCTAAAAGAACCAATAGCATACCTGATAAGTGTTGTCAAAACTGTCATACATGAACCTTGTTATCAGCGATGTTTTCCCAACTGTAAAACAAACCAACAAAACCAGGAAAAGATTCAGATTTTGATGAATCACATGCATTGAAGTGAGTAATAACTTGTTTGTCCTGACCAACCCCATACACTGTGTTTTAAGTAATTGAATTACTCTACCATACTGCAACACATGCTGTCTTGACCTCCGTCCTTCAAATGACAGAATGTCATTTTAACTTCACTGTCATTTAGAGTTATGGCGACAGGGAAAAATGACTTAAAAATGCGGCAGTGCATGGAGCCACTGTGACAGCAGAATTCCCGAGTACACATTTCATACACTAGAGGACTGCTCTTTTCAGGCCAGTCTGGTCAAGCCTGTTTGTCAGGCTGAGCCGAGATACTAAAATCACCAAACGGCACAATGCCAATAGTTATACTGGAGCTCATAGAATGAAAGGGCATAATGGTCCCATTCTTCTGTGACTTCACTGGTTATTCTGCTGATGTCTTGAGACAAGATCAACCAAATCTGACCAGCAGAGAGCTTCAGGACCATGGACAGCAGAATACAAGTGGTCTTCTGATGATAGTCTGGACAGTCCACGCAAACCATGTCATCAGTTACTCTCATGTTGCTCCAAACCTGCATGACTTCCTTTCTTCAGTCTCATTATATGGGAAAAAAAGATAAGTGGTGACTGAGAGGATGTTGTTCTTTCTAACATCTCCTTTTGTGTTCCATAGAAGAAAGATGGTTTGGAACAACATGAAGGTGAGTAAACGATGACAGAATTTTCAGAAGCTGACATAAAATGGAAAAATAAAGGGAAAATAAATGTTTTATATGCAGGTGTGGAAATATCCATCATCATATTCAGGCTACATGGGATTTATGATTTAGACAAGATGCAGACAGCTGTCAAAGCTCATTTAGGCTTAATTTGCAATTATCACTTATCACAATCTAATGCTGCTTTATACAGTACAGAGGGCCCTCTGTCTGTCTGACTGCCTGTCCATTTTTTTCCATACAAACAGTGGATGATGAATACATAACCACTGTAGGAGCTATAAGCATTACTGGAAAATGTAAGACAAAAATATCTCAAGAACACGTGAACTTTACGGTGACGCCATGTTCAGTGTTATTATTTTCAATATTTGGATGTCCAATCATCAAATGACAGACATGATCTCAAATGCCCGTCTGATTACGTCTTCACAAACACCGACAGTGACAATGTCACTGATAAAACCATCATTCGGCCAAATGAATAAACCACGATATCTAGTCTTATTATACAGGCTGATCTTATGACTGCTCATAAAATGATGTATGAGGTTTTTATTTTTGCTCTGCTGAAGAATCCCACAGACACTGACTGCCAACCTGGGTGTGTCTCCAGTAGACACACGGGAAATGCAAAGCCTCTGCGCTTTTCTGTTTCATGACATTAAATCAGTGGATGTTTACAGGAAGACATATACAAACACGGCGATATACATGTCTTTCGATTAAATTATTTCATGTATATCATTTGTTTTGAGCGATTTAGACTGCGCTAGAATAACAGCGATCAATAATATTATCAGCCCTTCTGCTTCCAATGGACCAGTCGTGGCAAACCCAAAGACTCACCGCTTTGCTCCCCTAAAAAAACAAGTTTGAATTTCCGTAAAGGGTTCCCAAAGTCACTTCCCATGGACATGATTGCTTGAATGACACAGTTGGTATGGATTAATATGTACAGGTGGCACCAGTCTTGCGAGAATGCAGATGGATAATCTTCGGTCCCGAATCGATGGATATTGCAGTGCTGCTCCGCGATGTCAATTCTCCAGCCCTGTGCGCATGCGCAGCGGTGGCGATACGCCCGTCTGATATCACTGTGTGTTTACGGAAACGTCCCTCGTAAACTCTCTTCTCACACTAAACCGCAGGCCAAGCATCCGTGCAGCAATGTTTGCATCTGCATCTCAAAGTGCAACACATATTTATATACTTTTAACGCTTATTTGTGTCTTTTGCAGACACCCAAGGCTGCATTTAGACCTTTCTTGTGTACAAGTGAATACATAATGTGAATAATAATTTAATGGAAATTGTTAAACAAAATTTTGCAAAACCTTTGTCTGTGTGCACATTATAATATTAATTTGATATTATTAAACGTTAAGATTTAGATTACATTTACATTTTTGTTGTTTTTAAGGTGACATTAAATATAATTTATTCATTGTAATTTTATAGTATTATTATACAGTAACTAATATAGGTTCCTTATATACAGAAACATGCAGAGTAACTAATATAGTACAAGCAATTAAATAAGGAGAATATTTTTGAGTTATGTGTGGGTTTTGCCTTTTTTGGATGAAAATGGTAGAGCAGACTGGAAAATTAAGGAAGAGATTAGATTCACAGTTCAAACCAGCATCTCTTTAAGTACACAATTGGCATTATGTGTCAGTAAAATATGCAAATAATATCACCAAGCATGCCCTTTTGACCTATTGGACATAAATCTATAAATATTTCTCCTCCAGCACATTTTGTCCTAGTCTGATGAGATGTTAAATGAGCATTGTTTCAGAGAGAGTACAGAGGTATTTGATGTTGATTTTAACATTTTCAGCAAAACAATAAATGACCAAATGAAAACAGAAGAGAAATCTTGTGCAACTGAGAACGACATTAAAATGTATCCAAATCAAATAGTAGACTATGTGTCTAATATTAGTGGTGAGAGATCATTACTGTGTCCTGGAAACTTTCAATGCATATCCTGACAAGTCTGTTTGTCTGCATGCAGACTCCTTCATTGGACATGAACATGAAACAAAAACAAAACCCAAACCCCACATTACAGTTGACAATAAAATCACAAAAACATCCCTCAAAATGTATAAAATAACTTTTGTTTAGTAGTTTTATATTATTAAGCAATACTCTATGGAAACACATTACACAAGTAGAGTCTGTATATATTGACAGAAACCATAAAAGTCCAGGTATACAATCAGATTACTGTACTTTAAGCATAAATAGTATGTAGCTTATATGCAGTAGTATTATATAAAAGTATTGTATAAAACATTAACATTTTGAAATGTTTGAAATAATGTTGCTGATAATCCTTAAATGAAAGCAGCTTAATCACAGCATATTATAAGAAAATAGAATATGTTCAAATTTGTGTGTATTTACATCTATTTTGTTATGTTAGTAAGGTAACAGATCTTGAAAATCCATGAAGTAAATGGTTTCTTCAATTCAGCATTTACTTGTCAAGATGTCAAGAAGGAGAAAGGTGTTTACAGGCTAGTAGATTAGCATTAGCATGCCACAGCAGGAGTCATTTCCTTAGCTCAAGTTAAGGTTTCCTTGTTTGTGTAATGTGTATGTGTGTTTATCACAGTAAAGAAACCAAGCTCCCTGAAGGTGTTATAATATACACATTTCCTTCCTGCTTAATGTATTGAGTGATTTGTTGCTTTTATATAATGTAGATGTGTTATGTTCAGTGTTTTTCTAGTTTGGACTATACCAGGGGTGGCGAACGTCGGTCCTGGAGAGCCGCAACCCTGCAGAGTTTTGGTTTAACCCTAATCAAACACACTTGAACAAGCTAATCAAGGTCTGAAGGGTTACTAGGAAGCTACAGGCAGGTGAGTTTTTATTAGGGTTGGAGCTGAACTCTGCAGTACTGCGGCTCTCCAGGACCGGAGTTCGCCAACCCTTGACTATACTATAGCACTACTGCTATATAACAAGTATGTTACACTCCATCCTATGCATGTTTCATCAGCCCCACAGGGTGGTTTGAACATCCCTGCGGGTCACACACACATTTCACCCACCGCCATACATGTACATTTATGTACTGAACTTAATGATGGTTTGTTTCTTGTGCAAAAAAACAAAAAAAAAAACAGGAAGTTATAAGGGACTCAGGAATGATTAATCTCACGAAACAGCAATTTTCAAACAAAACAATGGTTTATTTATAAAAGAGAAAAGGCAAACTTAAAAATTTGTGGAATGCATGGCTTTAAGACTCTTTTGGCCATGATCATTGTGTAATCATGGTATTTATTTATATAAGGTTGCTGCATTACAAAGCACTTAATTAACATGTTATGTAACAAACTTTTCTTTTTTGTCATTTTTTTTATTCAAAATAATTCTCAATTATATTGTCTTCAGATACAGTATAAACCATCACTGCATTCAAAAACTTCAAAAATCAAACAACTCTGCTTCTTTCTCTTTCCAGAAGGTGAAACTGCGATCAATATATTTACAAATTTCATAATTACTAAATATTGAGAAATCACTGCTTCCATCTCTGCTGGGATGTCCTCCATCATTTGATACGGTATTCTCGAAGATAACCTGTGGCACGGCTTTAGAATTCTTCACGGATTCCTTAGATATCCCATTTTCTCTTTTCCCAAAGTATTGCATTTTGATGTCCTCAAAACCATCTTTCCACTCACGTCTCCCAGCCTCAATCTCCCTGAGGACAGCCCGGTGGAAGTCTCGGACCGTCTCCCAGGGAAAGTTCCCCACGAACACCTCAAAGCATAGCAGGTGCCTCATCTTGCGCTCCTCAGCTGGGAGGTCCTGCTCAAGAATGTGAAAATAGCCAAGCATGAACAAGTCAAGAGTCAAGCTGTCGTAAGCAACAGGAGCGCCGTCCACACGAGGAAGGAACTGCTCGGGCGAGTAAGTCACGTGCTTCCTTTGGAGGCTCCGGATCTGTCGTGATGGGACCCCTGAGGCGATGCGTTTCCAGTTGTCAAGCATCTTCTCTATTGCGGTTCTTTGCCTGTAAAGATGATACAGTGATCTGTTTCCTGGCTCGGAGACTGGCGCTGTTATTCCTTCTCCTGTAAGAGTGCCAAGCTCTTGTTTCATCTTGGCTCGCATTGATATTGCATACGCAGACCTTTTCCAGTGGCTCAAAAAGAGGACAACGATACGCTTCTTTCGCAAGCAGGTGGTCTCCATCACTTTATTTGCATCTTTGCCTGGTGCCTTTTGGCACTTTATGCCACTGTCATTAATGTGATTTAGGTCAGTGCTTTGAGTTGGCTGCTCCTTACGATTTGTTGATGTAGTTTTTGCTGCCTTGTGTCTGATGTGTTTAAAACACCGCCGCCTCAGGGGAACTGCGAGCAGACACCGTCGCCTCGGGGGAACTGAGAGCGGCCACCGCCACCTCGGGGGAACTGAGAGCGGCCACCGCCGCTTCCTGAGCCTTGTGAGCGGACACCGCCGCCTCAGGGAAACTGCGAGCGTGGAGGCGTGGGGAAGGCGTATAAATAGCCCTCAGGATGGGCAACAGCTGTGTGTGAGTGAATGTGTGCACAGGTGTGTGGAGTCAAGGTAACGGAGTCCGGTAGGATGGGAAGTGGCAACCTCTGGTGGTGAGAGGGAGAACGCCAGACCCTGACAGATTGAACTTTGCCTCTCTGGCTGGTATGTGAATACCGATGCCAGATCTGTGTTTGGCATCTTACTGATCCCATCCTCACTGTTTGTTTCTGAGAGGTTTGTCAGGAGCAGTGACATGCTCTTTACTATATTTGAGATACGATTGTACCACACAGGAAGATGCAGAGATTCCATGTTTGGGAGCTGCTGACACTGGGTGTTGACGGTGATATTAATGATGGGAGCAGGAAGGATGGTCCTGAGTTCCTCCGCCAGTCGAGCAAGCTCTAGTTCATAGGCCTGGCATTGTTTCTGAAGGGAGATAGTTTCAATCTGTCCCTCCAAGTAGACCAGGTCATCTTCAGTAAGCAGTTCTGCAAAGGGGCCCAAAATGACATTGTGGGCTTGGGAATACCTCCAACCATCCATCTCGATGTGTTGGTCACTGTTGTCCTGTGTAAGAAAACAATTCTTATTGTAATGTTGTATGACATTATGCAAGGACTTTTATGTTGGAAGGGTTGAGAAGTTTACTTTTCTGCTGTGGATATCTTCATCCTGCAGTTGAGTCTGAAGCTTGCGCACCATAACCTGCCTCTTCCATTCAGCAATGGGCCTCCCGTTCTCGTCATGAGTTGGGATCAAAGAATCAATGTCAACAAGATTTGCCTCCAATGCTTCAAGTGGAACAATTCCATTCTGTCCTTTCTGTAAACAGATTCATACAAACCCATAGAAATCAATATCGCCATGCCATCTCAGTTGCAAAGAAACACAAAATCAAAATAAATGTCATTGCAAACTATTTTACATCTCTGCATTCAGACCTGAATGAAAATTTACCACTCTCCCCGAAACACCACCAACACCCTTTTTTTTAGGAAGGGCAAGTTAACAACAGTGCCTCAAACAGTGCTAATCTTGTAAATACAATTACAGATGAAAATGTTAAAATGTTAATTGATGAAGAGTTATTTGATTTCTTATGATTTCAGCATTAACAAAGATGAGATTTATGAGCTCTGGTTTCACAACAAATGCATTTTTTTTATTAATGGGGTCATATGATGCGATTTCAAGTTTTCCTTTCTCTTTGGAGTGTTACAAGCTGATTGTGCATAGATAAGATCCCTGAAGTTGCAAAGACTAAAGTCTCAAAACCAAAGAGATATTCTTTATCAAAGTTAAGACTCTGCCACGCCCCCCTAAAACGGCTCGTTCTAACACGCCCCCACATATCTACCTCACCATGTGGAAATATTTGCATAATGCCGCCCAAATGTGCACGCAAAGAAAGAAGGCGTGGTTTCAGTAACCGCAGTTAGTGTTAAAGCAGCCATGTCAGGGAGACGCTGTGTGTTTCAGTGCAAAAGCAAAAGCACTTTATTTGGCCTACCAGAAGTAGATGCATTTAGGAATCTTTAAAATTACTTACAACAGAACAGCAATGCATTTTATGGACGACCGTTTCATGAACCTAGAAGAGGAGGTAATTCTGACTTTGCTATGACAATCTGGCGCTTCTGAATCAGCTACTGTTTTGTTATTAGTTTAAGTATTTGCTATTGACTGTTCAAATGCGGAGTTTTGCGCATCATGTGTGTGTGTGTGCGTGTGTGTGTGTGTGCGCGCACGCGCGTGTGTGTGTGAGAGAGAGAGAGAGAGACAGCGTCACATCACAGTAGAGTCAGCTGTCTTAACCGCGGCTTGTGTACTGCATCATCACTGTGTCTGTCACGCGACTCTGTTCCCCTTTCGGGCTCTGTCTTTACATTTATTTTGAAAGATGAAGCTCGCGATTATGGTAAGGGGCGTTACATTTCCGACGAGTGCTTGCGGTGTTCGGCCAATCACAATGCACTGGGTCAGCTGGCCAATCAGAGCAGACTGCGCTTGTCGGAAGGAGGGACTTTGTAGAAAACGAAGCGTTTGAGAGAGGCGGGGCATAGAGGACCTACAATAATGTACAGTATTTGAAAAATAATGTGTTTTTTGAACATTAAAGCATGTCAACATATTCTGTTACACCAAATACACAAAATAATGATCTTTAAAAAAGCATCATATGACCCCTTTATTAATATATAACATGATAAATATTTGCTTTAATTGTAAACTTTCTTATTAACTAAACTTTTCAAATTTATAGTTTTTTGATATGATTGTTGCAAGTTTTATTGTATAAATCAGCACTGAATTACATTACTATTGGCACGGTTTTAAAAGGCTGCATAACCTACAACAACCAATCAGTCTATAGGTGTTGGGGGGGGGGGCATTGCAGCTCTTTCTCTCAAATTTGTCTGACAAACTTTATTTTTCACAAGTTTATATCTCGAAAGTTTGAGTTAACATCGCGAATAAGTTATTTTCTCAAAATTGCAAGTTTATTTATCTTTGCAATTCAGAGAGTTCACATCTCTCAAATCTGACTTTTTTTAAAATTCTGGTAGAAATTGTGATTTCAGGATGACTTTTTTAATACTAAAGCTAGCACATACATTTATTGTTTGTCCAGTGAAGACCGCTGTGATTCCTGCTTGTCTCATTGACCTCATGGACTTATGGGACAAAACTGTCTCCTCTTCCTCAAGGTGTTTCCTCATGTTGAATGAAGTTACAACTATACACCAAAGACAGAGAGAATTAGTTAACTTTAGATATTCAGTTTATTTGTGTTTATTATTGAAGTTGACCTTTTTGTCAGTTAGAAATCTGTAACGGTTACAGATATATAGTCTCGCCTGAGCCGAACACATGCAGGGTCATGCACTCTCACCTGTAGAGGCCACTTGCATGTGCTGAATGGTTCCAGCTCCAGCTCTCTTAGCCTGTGAGGAGGCCGGTAATGCGGATGAGTTATCCAGATATGCTGGAGAGGGACGAGGCTGGGGAGGGACTTCATTCACCGGCTGCTAGGAACACCAAAACAGCCAAAGCGATTAAGAACAGGCATGTCCTGTCCCATTTGCTTAAAATCAGTCCATAATTAAAAATCATCACCTTGATATTTTCCATCCTGCCACTATGTCCGAGTTCACAGGACAGGTCCTTAATATCCTGGTGTGGGTCAGCTGTGCTAAACAAGGTCCTTTCCTCCTCTATGAGAACAATATCTGCAGACTGCTGAAGTAAAGTAATGAGAGCAGTGATTTCCTAAATTTAAACTCAATTTTCTTTTAGTAATTGGCACAAAATACAGGTCTTGAAGCACAGTGTACACCCTGATCTGTGAACAGCCCCCAGTGAGGGGAAAAAGTCATGAGAAAAGTGAAACCAGAGCTCAAACTGTTTAATATAGCAGACCTCTCACTTAGTTAACAAAAGAAAACTGCCTATAGAGTTCAGTCATCTGATCGGATGGTTCAAATGACCCAAACTTGCAATTGCAGTGATTGACTTCTCTTATGGCCACTTGTGAACTCTGTTCCTGCTGTTCTGTGTTTTCTCTGTTCAAACAAAGCTCTCTAAGTTCTTTTTTAACATTAATAATAACATGTGCCATACATTGCAACAGCAGAAAATTAGGACATACTTTAACCTTGTCATATGTACTGTACACATGTATTCATACACTACCATTCAAAAGTTTGGGGTCAATAAGATTTTTTTAAAGAAAGTAATACTTAATTATTCAGTAAAGATCAAAATGCTCATTTATAATATTACAAAATAATTCTATTTTAAGTATTGTTTTTTTTTTTAAGAATCCTTAAAAATGTATCACAGTTTTAGTACAAAAAAAAAGCAGCACAACTGTTTTCAATAAATAATAAGAAAATACAGTATTAAAATAATATTTTAAGTATCATGTGACACTGAAGACTGTAAATGGCCCTCAATTACATTTTAAAATATATTAAAATAGAAAATGTGTTTTTAAATTGTAATAATATTTAATAATATAACTGTTTTTGCAGGTTTTTGAATCAAATAAACACAATATAGTGAGCAGAAGAGACTTCTTTCAAAAACATTTTAAAAATCTTACCAACCCCAAACTTTTGAACAGTAGTGTACATCCATATATCAGACAACCATAACACATGTTTGGATCGTATTAGTAGTAGTGTTAGTAGTGTACTAGTAGTGTTACTAAAGTAGTAATGCAAAGATAAAGCATGTGTGAGTTGACTGTAGCACTTAAGAGCAGCATCACAAAGACGGCTAAGTCTGAACATGCTCAAAAATATGACTTCAAATACTAAATGAGGCTTCACACACTATAGATTATGCATAAGCTGTGTATAATAAAATGTGTGACATTTAGGGGCTAATTTATTTATTTTAACAAAATGAAATTTAGTTCTCAGCGCTAAACATGATGAATGTGTCAGTCTGTGTGTTTCCATCAATTACTTCAATAATTACTCGCACTGTAATGACAAAATATTTTTAGTCATACTTTTTATATGGTCTTTCATGATAACATTCAATTTTAAACTTGTTTCTTATTCCATAAGAAAAAAATTAATGGAAAATAATTTTCTGTATGCTCAATATTTTCCCAAAGGCAGTTGTATTTTTACCTGATATTGATTTTACAGTTTTAGTGATTTAGTGTTAGACACCAAACTCTTAAAGCATATGAATCCTCGAACCAAGAAGCAATACACTATAATTGAGTTATTTTGAAGGTTTTTTCAAAGATCTTTTTCTAGGCAGAGTTTTTTCTACCAATTTATATACATATTTAATTAATACATTTCACATCATAAAACAAACCCATGCAATGCTGCAGGTTTTTTTCTTTTTTCTTCAGAAAAGTAAAACAATGATGTTTATGTTTTTTATAAAGTAATCTGAAATAATTTACAGTACACGCCTTTTCCAGTCAAGCCTTCACAAGTCTAACAGCTGAGTGTATTGAAAGCAGCCACAATCACATCAGAGCTCCAGCCATCCAGTGGCCAAACGCTTAAGGATCAGCACACTACAGTGAGCTCAGACAGGAGGTCTTCATAGTAAAGTATGAATAATTAAAGGGTGGGATTAGGTGAACCGTTTGTCTTTACAAGTTTAAACATCTACAGGCTGCCACACATTCCTCACTTTTGTGTTTCTCACATTGAACTAACACTACAGTCACAGAACACTATTTGCTGTTCTGAATGTCTTGGACTGTGGTTAGAGAATTACTTCAATTCCACAAAAGGGCAAAGATCAAAGAACAGGGCTTGATGGCGAATCGATACACGTACATGGACAGACAGTTCTAATCTCTATTGAGGTGTCACATTAGTATCTAACCCTAACTGATTTGCCGTTACGCAAATTTAAAGGCGCTTCACTTAATACCTCTCTGTCTGTCACATGCACCTCAATCGACTGTGGAGCAAAGAGGTCAACACATATCAGTTACACAGACCATTAGATATGCAGCAGAAACAGATCAGGCAACTCTAGTTAAGCATTAGATCACAACAATTCTATTCATTTACAGGTAGTTCATGCAGGCTCTTTATATTATAATATATTATATTATATTATATTATATTATATTATATTATATTATATTATATTATATTTATAGGAATAGTTCACCCAAAAATAAAAATTCTGTCATTAAGTAATCATTCCGAACCCATAAGACCTTCGTTCATCTTCACGTTCAAGGCCCAGAAAGTTAGTAAGGACATCGGTAAAATAGTCCATGTGACATCAGTGGTTCAACCGCAATTTTATGAAACTTCGAGAATACTTTTTGTGTGCAAAGAACACAAAAATAATGATTTTATTCAACAATTTCTTCTATTCCATGTCAGTCTTTAATGTACGAAGATGAATGAAGGTCTTACAGGTTTGGAACGACATGATGCTGAGTAATTAATGACAGAATTTTAATTTTTGGGTGAACTATCTCTTTAAGTATTATGAATGAATATGGACACATTTTACTTAGGTATGATTTTCCCCCAAATATGTAAATTTTGCTTTTAAATTTGTAAAAATTTGAACAGAATTTTCTCAATTTTTAGACAATTTCCTCTATATATATGGTGGAATGGTGGAATAGATCAAGCTGTTTTATGCATCTGATCACACCATTTCTATTAATTTGCAAGCTATATTATATTATATTATATTATATTATATTATATTATAAAACTATATTTAAATTTTATTATTAAATATGGAAAGTTTAATTATACTCAATATGATTTTTCTCCAAGTATGTAAATTTGACATTTATGAACATTTGAATTTAATTTTCTACATTTTTTCTCCATATTATATATGGTGGAATGTTGGAATAGATAAAGCAATATACATCAGTTATATACAAACATCAGTTATACAAACATTTTATAATATTTTTATTACATTATCCTTTTTAATAAGCTTTTACAAAGACAGATTTTTAGAGTCAATGTAAAGATTTTTGAAAATTGTTCCTTTTTATATTAGCGTAACCAGTCTATTTTGCATTATGTCTGTATTTTTCTTCATTCAGTTTCTGTGGGAATAATTAAACTAATCTTATGTAATTATTCCCCTGTAAACAATAATTATTGTCAAGAACCCCACTGTGCTCCTCAAACTTTCCTTTGGGGAGACCCATACACTCAAAACAAAGCAACTGATGCCATGTCAGCAAAAACAAACAAAACTGGTGAGAACACCACATCTCTTTCTCTCTCGTTGGCTTTGTGATGGATTGATGGAGCATGAGCGACTCCAAACACACTGGAGTAAAATGCCCTCTGACAAACACACTGACTGCGTTTATGGGCCTCTGACATCTGAGAAGGAGGATCGCATATCGTCCTCGCCCCTGGAGCCCTGGAGCTCGTGCTGAGAGGGGCGCGAGTGATAGCTGATAGGTCCTTCATGCGCCAACCAGACAGTACTAAGTGTCTTGCTAATTAGCTTGTGTCCGACCATAACGCCCCTTACCATACTGTGTTTCCGTGTGTTCCGTGTTTCCGCGTGACGAGACAAAACCAATAAAAACCCATTACAAACGAGGCAATGGGGACATAATTACTGATTTAATTACTGACTTATACTGTGTTGTTATGCGTTGCGTTGCGTATTGCGCCGCATAAACATAAAACCATGTCTGCATTTGTGATCAGA